GCCGTAACGCTCCACCGCGAGCTTGTTATGACGGGCACGCGATACATTTGTTTTATGGCGGGGCGTTAAAATTGATCATCGCAGTTGCAGAGACCGACTGTTGTACAACTGATACACGCCCTCCTCCCTGCCTGTCAAACGGAACGGGCCCCCTTTGGAAGGTTCACGTTACTGGCGGCTCCCAAACGAAACGCGCCCATCGGTACACTGAAAAAAAATCTGATAGATTCAACCAGTCGTCTGTTAAAAGATGGACGAATCAGAATTCCTTTAGGATTAACCCAGATTTGTAGTGAAGTCCAGTAAACTTCTGGTTATGAAATATCTTTCGTGGTAAATCCTAAAGGAATTCTGGTAAGTCCTAAAGGAATTCTGGTAAATCTTAGAGGGATTCTGATTCGTCCATTTTCTAACAGACGACTGGTTGAATCTATCAGTTTTTTCTCAGTGCAGAAAAAATTGAAATTTAAGTATATTGTAGTTGCAAATTTTATCTATCAGTACGCGAAATTTCAGACCCGGTCGCCGATGAAATAAAATAAAGAAAGAATGTTAAAGTTGTGTTTTTTAACAAAAATATCTTAACAAAAAAACGAGATAAATATAATAAATGTCACAAGGATGCAAATGCGCTATTAAGTATACGAGGTCACCGACCTCTGCAAGCAAATACTTATTAGTAAAGTCAAAAGATACAATGTTTTGAGGAAATTTGACTGCTCTTTGAGACTTGACTTTTTTTTTCATAAGGAAGAAGCCACCTTAAACGCGACAAAAGGCAACGTATCTTTTGTATCTGTCCGAGAGATTATGTAATCGAGTTGATAATTCGGTAACTCGCAATCGACGGCGGAAATATGAGGAGGGGGCGTGCGATAAGGAACCGGAGTTATCAATCGATGGCGTTAACGTCACTTGCGCTTCTCCAATGCGGACTTGATCTCGGCTCGACTTACTTTTTACCTTCGTCTGGTCTCGGAAATTGGAAAAAGATAAGAGTAAGTTAAACCGGGATTGAAGATAATCCACATTGAAATGGGCATAAGAGAGGCTGGCTTGTTTACGCCTCGCCTCGTAACAGGTTTAAGGCCGTGACGTCGCGCCTTTTTACGCGCATAATTCTTGCCCACGCGCGCGGAAACTCGCTGCGCGAACAGCCGCCTCGCTCGACAGATTATCTTCGTGCAACATTATCATAAATCTTGCGCAACGATCGAGACCGGCGCGACGCGGGCGAACATTGTTTTTTTTCCTCTCTTACGATCCGTCGCCGAGCGGTTAAAGATAATCCGGTCGTTCCATGTCGCGGCAAGCACGCAAAACAGGATAAGCGTACAATTGTAGGACGAATATAGCGTGTACGAAAGTACGTCAATGCGAATCAAAGCGAGGGAAGTCAACCCTCGACCGTGAAAACGTGGAGTCTCTGGGATTCTGATTTTGTGATTTTGACTTACGTTGATTCCGCAGATAATCGATGCCGAGGAACATGAGAAAGTGTAGCGACGCACATGTGCAAAGATTAAAGGACAATTATCTCTGCCTCTCCCCTTTCCTTCATATCCAAAAGTCCCTACTTCACAATCACCCAACTTCACAGTTAAGGGGTTAGGCCACCTTGGACGGGTCAAAATTAGTGTCATTTTCGGTCATTTTCTTGAAAATATAACAAAGTATATACAAAATTGAAAAGTAGGTATGTACCATATCTTTAAGGAACAAAAAATATTTATTTGTTTACTTTTAATGTAAAATAGCGGCGGTAAAGCCGAGACACCGAAACTCCTCTTTCATTGACGCGCTCAGCGGTGGACAACTTCACGGCTACACCATAGACTTACAATTAGTCTAACTTGTTCGTTTTCCCCCAATCTTAACGCTGAGCGAGAGAGAGAGAGATCATGACACTTTTGATATGTCTGCACTCTAATGTTTAGGACAGCGCGTCCATAGGGATGGCGCAGTCTATAAGTAATGTAAGTATATGGGCTACACCTTCGAACCTAAGACAAAAGGCTAAAAACTTTTATGATCTAGATACTAGAAACTAGAGAAGTACGTACGGATATTTCAAAATACTGATTTTTATAGAATTGTTACAAGTACGAAAACAAAGTTCATTTTTATGAATGCCACGGTGATCATAACCGGTAGCCGACTTTTCGCGGGCCATCGAGATCTTTTAATTCTCTCGCGACCACAGACACGTACAGTGATAAATCCAGTGGGCATTACTTTATCTTATTAGCTTATTGTATCTTTATGATGCCCCAGCAAGGCCTAATGCCCGGTAACGCCGCAAATCTGCGCACCTAATGCCCTCAACGGTTTACCCGAGGGGAAAACCGCTGACCAAAATCTTGTACACCAATGCCCACTAATGCCCAGTGGGCATTACTTTATCTTATCTAATTTTATCTTATTTATTTTGTCTTACCATATTTTATCTTATCTCTTATTTTATCTTTACAATTCCCCAGCAAAGCCTAATGCCCAAACTAATGCCCAAAAATGCCCAGTAATGCCGCAAATCTGCACACCACATTGCCCTCAGCGGTTTCCCTCTCGGGTTTACCCCTCGGTTGCGACACTTTTTTTTTCTTTAATGAGTCTAGAAGCATGCATTTAGATAGAGGGTTGAGCCAACGGCACACGATACTATTTTTCCTACTGGATTGCTTACGAGAGCCAATCAAGATGCAGAGTTTTCGATCAGGTGACTCAAAGCTGAATCCTAATTGGCTCTCGTAAGGAATCCAGTAGGAAAAATAGTATCGTGTGCCGTTGGCTTTACTTTTCAAAATCCTCTTCCTCAAGGAATATTTTACTCGACGGCCATTCCGAAACCATCTTGAGCGTTTCCGATCTGTTCCTCGAGTTCCTCAACTCATTAAAAAAAAAATATTGCAACCCTTCTGTCCATCTTCTGAAGATACACCCCTAATGATTACTCCTCCGGAGGCTGTATTTCGTGTTGCTCTTCCATCGAGGGTGCCACATAACTCACGGAGGCTGCGCTTATTTGTACTCGCCCACTCCGGGGACGACTCGACCGTTAGACGGGGTGATGATGGGGAACGTTTGTATCTTTCGAGGGAGTTTTTTTGGGGGTGTGGCTATCTATCTCCATACGAAAGTTTATCAAACCGTCGAGTGAGATACCAAACGTCGCTCTGGCACATTATTTCCTGCTTTCCTCGGCGAAATAGAGTAACTGAGCGCGAGAGATGTCGAGTGTCGATAGCTTCTGGACGGCTCAAATAGAGTCTGCCCGACGAGCGAAAGGTCTCAAATTCGAAGATATATTAAATAAAAGGTCCGTTGAGAGAAAGATCATTAATTACGATAAGGGCAAAAGGTACGAACAGTACGATATTTGACTATGTGTTTGTAATAAGATGTAAGGAACCAGAACACAATAGTTAGTTTGTTGAAAATATAAGTATCGACCTGCTCAATTTGAGGTCGGACGTTTCGGCTACTAAAGGTAACCCTTTTCAATGACAAAACAAGATTAATACGCTACAATTTTAACTTAGGTCCTTAAGATATAAAATCAATTAGAAAATGAAGAGGCCGTTTAGGACCGGGCATAGGTGCAAGTAGCCAATTAAATTAATAAGTGAATCCATATACCGTATTCTTTCCAACTTATCCTGCGCGCCAGTTACATACCAGTCTTATAGGATTATAAATACGCTAAATATCGCAAAATTCCAGTTCTGATTCTCGATCCTTCGCCCGGTATTTTTCTCGTCCAAAAGTCATCGCACGCGTCTCGGTGCCTACCTCAAGATGCACCGCTAACTCTTGCTCCAACTTACGTTTCTTGCCCCCGCTCGATTCCTCGGGACGCCAGCGTCCCGTTTAAAAGCAAGTAACAACGAAAAATAATCCGGCCGCAAAAGGATTAAGACGCTCGCGAAAGCTAAATGCCGTCTTATTAAACGGGAAGATGCGAGGCGAAAGATACGGCCCGTTCAACGCGCCGCTCGTCAAGATACAGTCCTGTTTAATCGTGTAACACGCAACGGTCCCATCGCTGTTCGTCTCTGCGCGAGAAGGAGCGGCGCAAGTCGAAAAATAGCACTTTTACGGGAGAACGACGTTAAACCTTCAACCTGCTTGCAGATCATACGCAACTACAATCGCGCGGTCCGCTAAATTGCTCTCTCTTATTCCTTTCTTTTCCTCGCTTCGATCGATCCCCCTCCCCCTCCCCCCCCCCGTCCGCACTGTGAGAATCGTATTTTCCTTTTAAACGTTCCTTCCCTTTACCATTACTATTTTTAAACGAAACACGATCTTCGCGTCGGTGCTTTCTTTGGGCGAAATTTTCGTTAACCACACACACACACACACACACTTACGGCGCTCTCCTGAACGAGGGTGCATACATTTTCGAGTCGATAAATTCAGTCCAAAAAAAAAATCAAGAAACGCAGAGACTCGTATTTTCGACTCGCGTCGCTCTTCTCGCGCAGAGGCGAGGTGTAACGCTTGTGACAATGAAGATATTCTACTGAGGCGTATGCGGCGCACGAGGCATGCAGAAACGCTCGCTGCGGTCGTGTTCGGGCAAACAAGCCACGGGGGCGGCGGCGGGGGAGGGAGGGGGGGAGGGGGAGGGAGAAGCGGCGGCCGAAGGGAACGGGCCCGGACGCGCGACTAAAACGAAACCCCCCGACGGCGATCCCCAGGAGGCCCCTCCGGGTCCAACCGCGCGGAAGAAGCATTGTTGCCGGCGGCCGCGCGTATTCTATCCGGTGCATTCCGCCGCAGGTGTATTTTCGTGCCGCGTGGAGCCCGCCGCGAGTAATAGAGCGCGCGCTCCGTTCCCCTCCCCCGTCGCTCCTGCGCGACGCGGAGGAGGCGGACGACGACGAGACGCCACCGTCGCCGTCGCCGTCGTCGCCGACGACAATGACGACGGCGGTGGCGGTCGCCCCGGGGCGCCGCTTTTAGATCCGAACCTTGGTGAAACGAACAGGCGGACTCACCGGACGGCAACCATCGGGGACGTCCGACGTGCGGGCCGCAACGTTGTTGTGCACTTCCTCCTCCACCTCCTCCTACACCGCACGAACACCTACACCTCGTCCGCGCCGGCGGCAGGAAGGGACCAGCGCTGCGACCGCTTCCCGGAGCGGATTCCGTACCCTCGAGCTCTCTTCTAGTCCCTCGCCGAGCTCTCACCTGTCACCGATCGCGGTACGCGCACGCGGCCGATCCGCACCCGGCGGTCCCTCGCGTCCCCGCCTCTCACTCGCGTTCTTTTATCCGTCTCCCTTTCTCGTCTCGTATCTCTCTTTCTCTCTCTCTCTCGATGCGCTTTTCGCCGCACTCTCCCTCGAGGGACGACGAGCCGAGCAGCTACCGTCCGTCGGGGCCACCGATCAGCTGTGCACTGCGTACCGACCACTGCGCTGCTCGGCCGCGCCGCTTCCGTCCCGGCGCGTCGCGTCGCGGACGGCGGCGGATGCGACGTGCCGCCGCGCGCGCGCGATTTGATGCCCCGTCGATTTCTTCGCGGGCGATCGCGATCGCGAGCGCCGACGGGAGCTCGCGTGATCGCGTAGTCAAGATGGCTGTCGGCGTCCGATAAAGTGGCCGTTCCTATTTATGAATGGGAGACGCGTCACGGTTAGCTCGCCACGGTTACGAGAGGACAGACGGCGACCAGAGGGGGGAGGGGGAGAGAGGAGGGCATCGCGACGTCCGTCCGCGCGCTATTTTCGTTCGCGTACGAGATACTGGACACCGACGCGCGGCGTCGCGACGGATACGGTCCTCCTTTTCTCACTGTGTATCTGGACGGTTCTTCCTGCCGCGGGAAATCGCTCGCTGATAATCGGCAGACTGAACTGGCGAGACCAGATCGCCCCGAAAATAGACCTGGAGAAATGCGACGGAGATACACTCCGTGTTTGCCTCTCGTCCCAGATACCGTAAAAAGGTCGAAAGAGGACTTTTGAATCCCCGAATTGCGAATCACCTTTCCATCCCCCATTTCTGTTCTGAAAATATTCCTGGGCTGGTATTTATACACCGGCGAATGCTTTTTCGCAAAAACTCGCGCTGGAAAGGAACTCCTTTGGAGTCGGGTGACTTTCAACAGATTGCGCGAAGTTTAGAAAGAATTTAAGTGACTTTTTGAATTCAAAACTATAGTCTGAGCCAATTGAGATAATCTGTCGCTTCGCGAGAAGTAAAACATTGGCGGAAAATGCAGAACATGTTCCATATTGAAAATTGATGCTTGACACTTTACGAGAAACGAAGTTTCTATATTGAAAAGACGGTTTGTCTCACGTGATAAGTGAAAAAAATGTTCCATGCTAAAAACATTTTTAAAGCCATTCGAACACATTGTCGCTTCGCGAGAAGTAAAACATTGGTGGAAAATGCAGAACATGTTCCATGAAAATTGATGCTTGTCACTTT